GGAGCGAAGAGGTGTGCCGGTGCAAAATAGGTGCAAAACGTGTGCACAAGACCATGAATCTTCAGACCATGCGCTTCGGAAATGTCCGCACGCTGCTAAGGTCTGGTCGGCAGCTGGTATTGCTATTGGTAGTGGGGAGGTTCCTCTGAAGGACTGGCTTCAAGAGGCGTTGGTGGATCTGGATAAAGATAGGCGGTGCAAAGTTGTTATGCTGACTTGGGGTTTATGGAAACGAAGGAATGAGTTTGTATGGGAGAATAGCTGGCAGAATACAGAGAGTGTCATCAATTGCAGTGCTAGTGTGCTACAGGTTTGGAGAGATGCCCAACACACGGTAATGAAGCCGAGCAAGGGAGGAAGAGAGAAGACTCAGCGCTGGAAGAGGCCAAGGGTGGGAAGTATCAAAATCAATGTGGATGCGGCGGTTGATCACCCTGGGGGAGTTAGAGCTTGGGGCTGGGTCGCCAGGAATGAGCAGGGCGAATTTGTGAAGGCAGGGGGAGCATCATGTCAGGCGGACTAGTCCCGGACAGAAACAGAAGCATTTGGGAATACGGGAGGCAGTTCAGGAAGCCATCTCGAGAGGATGGGATAACGTCGAGTTTGAGATTGATGCACAGGTGATCGTTAGAGGTGTACAATCAGGGGGAGGCATCAGTTACCTAGATCTTATTATTGATGACATCCGATCATTACTTCTAAAAAAGATTAGTTATGTGATCTCTTTTTGTAATCGATCTACGAATCATGTGGCTCATGTCTTGACAAGAACGCATGATACCATCTGAGATCATGTTTGGAGTAGTCTAATATGAAATCCAGGTTCAATCCCTTAATTTTCGTTATTCTCTAATTGGGACCTTCACTTTAGGTCATTCGCCTCTAACCGTTATACAGAAGGCGTTTGAGGCTCTAGGGTTCTCAAATCCCTATTCCGTAGGTCTTCTTCGATCCAATTTGATATTGATAAACTTTCAACCGTAAAACGATTTTTAACGATTCTGGATAAAAAAAGTTGGGATTTTTATGGTTATTCAATGACTGTGTCCAGATGGACCCTGTCCTTCTCCCTGGATCGAGATCCCCGTCTGGCTCCTGTTTGGGTCGGGCTGGAGGGACTCCCAATCCACCTCCACGACATTCGATCCCTCTACGACATTTGATCCCTCTACTCTATCTCAAGACTTCTGGGAAGGCCTATGAAAATCGACTCTCTAACTACGAACTTCTCTGGACCTTCGATGGCTAGAGTTTGTGTTGAAATCGATGTCTCTAAAGCCTTACCTTCAAAATTTTGGATTGCAAATGGAGATGCTGGCTTTTTCCAGTCTGTTCAATATGAAAACTTACCTGCTTACTGCAGGTCATGCTATAGGTTCGGCCACTCAAATTGTGTAATGAATGGTAAAGGAACGGACCCCAAATCAATGATGAAATCTTCTTTGGATCCTGAGGTTACGACTGCACCCATTACACAGCCTGTTAGTGCAATTGTTGAAGCCCCGATTGTGGAAAAACCTTGTGTCAAGAAAGCCTCCAGGTTGAATGTTATTGCATCCAGTCCACCTTTGAATGTTGTTATCCCTTTATTGACTCATAAAAACTCAAATAGCCAGGTTGTTTTGTCTAAGGTTACAAATATAATGATTGTGTTGTTCCCCAAAAACAGCCCATGATACAATAGCAGAAGGCCAGGTTGTTTCCACCGAATGTGCTGCCCCTATTTTGCATTCTATCGATTACCAATCTGCTGTTACAACAGCTAAACTGAATGCAAATGATAAAAATGATGTCGGTATACTACCTGCAATTGATCATCAATCTGATAGCTTTGTTACCCATTTGGAAGATGGTTATATAGCAACTAAGGCTTGTCTTGGAGGTGATTCTGCCCCTGAATTTTATGCCACTTCTGTTCCTAACCATGATCCTGGTTTTATAACCACCGATGAAGAAACTGTCCCTTCAAATTGTGTTGTCCCGGGAGAATATACTGTCTCAGTCCCTTACTGTTGTGATCTAGGAGCAACTCCAGGCTGCTTGCAGATTCCGAAAACTATGGTTGATTCTGATGGACCCCCGGTGGCTACCTCTAAAAGGGCAGTAACCGCTGGTGTAGTTCATCAGACTATATCGGACCCCACTAATGCTCACACTTCCAGAGAATACACCATAATGAACGGAGATGATGAATTTAATTCTGATCCACCGGAAGCAGAACTTGATACTACACTAACCACAAAATTGTCCAATGATGATACTCAATCTGAGGACCACTTTGTTTTTTTATGTTACAGGTAACCCGGGAAGCAATGAGGAAGGGCCTGATGGATTCGTGGAGGTGAGAAACAGGAAAAGCAATGCCAATAAATCGATTCGAGAGGACCCTCAACTATACTATGAGGTGGGATACTATTCCCACCTCATGGTTACTAGAAGTCACTCCAAGAAACCCAGAGATGAAACCGACTACTACTTATACCCGGTGGACGCGAGATTCGACTCACCACACAAATTGGATGCGGCTCTCAAGAAATATAAAGCTACACATCTGGACGCCAAAACTTATCAACCATATCTGAAGAATGCGATTAGGTTCCATAACAAGTACAACAAGAATATATCAACTACACTTGGAATTCCAACTATAAATTTCAATTGCTAGTGTCTCTATTTTCTATGTATCTTTTCTTTCAACTCATGTACCTTTAAATTCCTTGCATCTTTAAAATTCTATAAATAAATTTGGAAAGTGTTCCCCGACACTTCCTCCACCAAGGGTAGTTTGCTCCGGGACAAAAAAAAGTAGATAATAAGTATATAATAAGTAGATAAATATAAGCAATATAATATATGTATTTATAAGTAGATAATAAATATATAAGTAGATATAATAATTGTATAACTAATTTAAATAGATATGACGTATATTAAAAGGTGTAGAGAGAATCGGAGAAGATGAAGATGGAGATGATTAAAGAGTATTAGAGAGTAGGAAGAATGATAGAATAGATGTAGAAAAATGTTTAGAAAATAGGAGTATATATAGAATTTATTTCTACTCTCACCCCCACCCCCATATCCCCCTCCAACGGCTCTAGAGCCGTTTGGCACTTTGGCAAAAGTTAGGAGCATCCCAATCAATTAAAAAAAAATTAAATTATAGCCGTTACTTGCCCGGACCGGCCGGTCCGGTCCCCCTTTTCCCTTTCCCGCCCCCTACCCCTGGTTCGAGCCCCATGGACCGGTACCAGTCTTGATCAGTGGTCCGGTATGGTACTAAACAGTACAGGGCCGGGCTGGGGAGATGCCTCACTACATTCACCTCAAGGAGTGGGGGACTGAAATAGTGGGGGACTTAGCGCCTCCATTAATCGAAGAAGCACAAATTCAAATTTTTCACGAGATTTGCCAAATACACTGACGACATCATCACATCATATGCAGATTCAGTTGCCACAACAGCAAAGTACATACACATAGATTCTCAGCCTTAAGACCGGTGGTGATGATCTCTGGCTAGTGACCTTCGAATGGGTTGTCTGAGTCAGGGCTCACCGATGAGATCGGATAAGCGGCTTGGAAATCCGGGTGAGTCGCCTCGACAATGTCAGAAGTTTACTCACCAGCCGACGACATATCAGCACACGTTTCTACTCCCTTTTTCCTCGAGTACTCTCGACTCAGGGAGTGGGGGACTCCCGATAGAGTATATAGACTCGGACCCCGGGTCTCACGACTATTGGGCTTGTACAGCGGCCCACACATTCTTATAGGATGTCATTTGTATTATTGTACTAGATTTGACTTTTATGTAGTTGGGCCTATCGATCCCATATTAGCGACCCAACCCGTTTTATCTCTATGTATACCCCTTATGGAGGTCTTGTAAACCTGGAACACAATTCATCATCTCTTTCTTTTTCTCTCTAGTCTCTCTTAATCATAAAGATTGGATACCCCATTATTCATCAATATAAATTCGGCGTACTAACCTATTGTAATTTTAAAAATGCGTCAAAATCCCTCTAACGACAAATTTTACGATTTTGAAGTAATTTATTTTAATAATATGATTGAATATGCAAATAACTTTGTTATGATTTCAAAATTATACAAAAACATTAATCCTTATTCGACAATTAAATTTGTTTTTTTAAGAAGAAGAGTTAATTAATGTTAATAATGAGACTGATAATACAATAGTTCAAGGCTACACTGGGGTGAGACATAGAAGTTAGAACTGCCTAGCCTCTAAGGACCTGTCAAGTTCGCTAACCCCGCATCATGGTAGGCTAATTTAACAGCATCGCTGAATTTGCTAAGAAAATGGGAGATAACTAAACAAGAATTCTTTAAATAAAAATAACAAAATAATTCAAATGTCCCGGTTTTACCAGCCACCGGGAAGGGAGAAGAGGTTCGTTCATCCCTCTCCAAAGGAAGCATCCCGATTTTACCAGCCATCGGGAAGGGAGAAAGAGTTTGAACAACCATATCTAAAGGAATCATCTCGTTTACGGGACCTGTCTGAACTTTAGGCGGAGTTGTTCTGGGAGCACTGCCTCCTTACCGTTTTTTGATCCCTTGTCATCAACCTCTTTCATTGACATCCTTTCATAAGTCTAATTGAAGCTCTCCATCAATGGCCAACAAAATAAACGTTGAGTTCGAGACAGAGAAAAAGAAGCAACAGAATTCACGAGAAAAGCACAAACACGTTCACAATTGGAACAGACCAAACCCTCAACTATACAAACTCAGCCAGATGAAACAAAAATGAGCAGAAAATCAGTGCTGATGTGTTACTGATGCACCATGGCACAGGATTAGAGCTTTGTCGCTCATGCATCGTGGCGTCGGGCAAGATCTTGAAGAGGTGCTGTCGGCCGCTAGGGTTCGATCATCGAAGGGGGGACAATTAAATTTGTTAATAGAGGAGATCTTGCACATGAATAACATAAAATATGGTGGTATAAAATATGGTGGTTTGATAGCATTTTTTAAATCACGGACCCCGAGAGCATAAAAAATAAAAGATGGAGAATATGATGAGGGAAAAGTAAACAAGTTCAAACTTCCTAAATACTGTGTTGCCTGTGCACAGAGTATCACGGGGTAGGATATAATTTGCCAAACCTAAAAAGATTTCTGAGACAATAGCGGTGGCAAACCGGAATTGCCAATCGGAAATAGAAGAAGCGAGGGTAGGGTTTGTGGGGTTGAGATAGAAGACGATATGGGGGCGAGCAGCGATCATCTTCCTGTTCAGGACGGGTCGGACGAACAGCAGAGGCGTGCGGAGATATACACATACGAGGCACCATGGCACATCTATGCAATGAATTGGAGCGTGCGGAAGGATAAGAACTACCGACTCGCCATTGCCAGCCTGCTGGAACAGTACCCCAATCGCGTCGAGATCGTACAGCTGGACGACTCCAACGGAGAGATCCGCTCCGATCCTAACCTCTCCTTCGAGCACCCCTACCCTCCCACTAAAGCCATATTCATCCCCGACAAGGAATGCCAGAAGCCTGACCTCCTGGCCACCTCCAGCGACTACCTACGGATCTGGCGTGTCGCAGAAGACGGGTCGCGCGTTGAGAGCAAAAGCGTCCTCAATAACAATCGCAACAGCGAGTTCTCCGGTCCATTGACTTCCTTCGACTGGAACGAGGCGGAGCCTAAGCGGATAGGCACTTCCAGCATCGACACCACCTGCACCATATGGGACATCGATAGGGAGACAGTAGACACCCAACTCATCGCGCACGACAAGGAGGTGTACGACATCGCATGGGGAGGGGTCGGCGTGTTCGCATCTGTCTCCGCTGACGGCTCCGTTAGAGTGTTTGACCTTCGCGACAAGGAGCACTCCACCATCATATACGAGAGCTCCGAGCCGGACACACCCCTAGTCCGCCTGGGTTGGAACAAACAGGACCCCAGGTACATGGCCACCATCATCATGGACAGCTCCAAGGTCGTGGTACTTGACATCAGATTTCCAACGCTGCCGGTGGTGGAGCTGCAGAGACACCAGGCTGGCGTGAATGCCATTGCGTGGGCGCCGCACAGCTCATGCCACATCTGCACAGCTGGCGATGACTCCCAAGCACTCATCTGGGACCTGTCCTCCATGGGTCAGCCCATTGCAGAAGGGGGGTTGGATCCAATCCTGGCTTATACCGCTGGTGCTGAGATTGAACAGCTTCAGTGGTCTTCATCCCAGCCTGATTGGGTTGCTATTGCCTTCTCTAACAAGCTTCAGATTCTAAGAGTGTGAGTGACATATAAACTTCAATTCAAACTGATCATCTGATGATGGTGCTGATCATCTGTCTTCTTAGCCACAAATGTATGTTGGCTTCAAGTCATTGCATTTCATCTTGCTTTGCTTTAATCTGACTAGAGTGGAGGGAATGCTTCACTTTATTTGCATTGCATTTTTCTTTGAATTAATCAGACTAGAGAAAGGAATTATGTACTTTATCTGCCTGTCTGCCTAGGGGCTTATTACAGAATTTGTATGAGACCTTCAAATTAAGGGTGTCCCCAACATGAATTTTAAAGGATTTTAAAGGAACGTAGATTGTATGGATTTTAATGGAATTCTACAGATTCCATGAGATTCATATGGAATCTATGGAATTCTATGGAATTCTATTTCATCAAATCATATGGATTTGAATGGATTTTGAATGGATATCAATAGATTTGAAACAAAAATTACTCCTGGTTGTTTCCTCCCTAATTCCTTTGCCCAAAGCCATCATCACCAAAAATTTTACTTACACCACTTCGTGGTTTAGCATTTTGGGTAAAGAACTCTACTGCTGTGCAACTGGAAATTCATCAGCAACCCTAAACTAAAAAATCTACACATCTTATTTAGCATTTCATAGTCATATAAGCATATCGAACAGAAATCCCACAATCATTTGCTGGAAAAACTGCTGAACAAAAACCAATGACTAGATGTAAAACTGTAAAAGAAATGCGTTAAAACAAAACATAGCACAGAAAAAACAGACGCTGGATATTTACGAAAAGTGGAAGCTCGACATATAATATAATCTATTGAATGCTTATATCACAAAGCTATGGAAACCCAATTCAAAACAATAATACAACAAAAAGACACCCAAATTAAATTTCTCATATGTTACAAATGAGCCATCATCGATCAGAACAAAAAGAAGACAAGTCTGATAAACAATGAATTTACCAGGGAATTGGGATGATTAATCAGCCCGAGTGATAAAATTTGAAGGATGAAGAAGGTGGAAGATGGAAGATGGAAGAGAATACTCAGGGAGCTTCGATTGAACTGCGGCAGAGCGAGTACGTGTACGCAGGTTTTTTTAATTGGATTTGGAAATCTAAAGGGTGGCGATGAGATTGTTGGTGGATTGGGTTATTCAATTTTTTGGCCTAAAAGTCCATCAAAGTTTATCAAAGTCCATTAAAATAATCAATAAGTAAAATGTGACATCGCTCCCGAATGTAATTGAATTTAATATTTAGTATGTATTTGAATTTTCTAACGAATAATTTCGTGTGACAGATTGGTATATTTAATTAATGCCTGATTAATTAAATTATTTATCGGGTCCATTATGTTGATGATGGACTACCAAATATTTAGTTAGGTCATCGTAATAATTATAGAAGCCCAATAAAAATTCCTATTGGGAAAACAAGTACTGTTTTGGGAAAACAAGTACTGTTTTGACCCAACCTGCCAGAAATAGCAATAATAATCTGGGGAAACTTCCTACACCCACTTGGGGATTTTCCTACATGATTTGTGGTCTCCAAATAATGGGACGGAGACAAAATGAAATGGCAAATTCGGACTTATGGGGAAGGAAGTGATTGGGGACACAACCACACCCCTATTGGCCATATCAACACCTCAACTTGGTGTTTGATTGAGGATAGATACCTCCACCTCTTTGAGTCATACGGATAACCCAAGGGAAGAGAGAAGCTCTAGACATCACCTCTCAAAAAGCTCAAGCTTGAAGGAAGCAAGAGGAGAGGAAATCTAAAAAGAAAAGTATAGTGTTTGAGGTAAGAACTCAATGAATATTCTTGTAATTAGTTTATTCTTGTATGATTTTTTAAGAAATCATATGGTGGATTAAACCATGACTTCTACACGTTTAAAAGTGAGAATATTGTTATAAAGTAGTGGCAATTAACTTAGAAGAGTTGGTGAATCGATAGGAGTCGAAATCGCCGGAAACCGCCACTCCAAAGGAGCTGTTCGTAGTTGCAGACTACGAAAGCCGCCCGGCTTTCGTGAAAGCCGCCCGGCTTTTGCCCAGCAGTCCAGTTTTCCACTTTCAATCGGCCTAGAACGGGGATTGATCGAGGGGCTTAACAAAGACAACTATTGTAGCACATCACGAGGTGAGGATGGATGACTATGTTGCTTATAATTAGTGAGTTAATTTAATGAGATTACCTAAGGTAATTAAATGTGTTTTAATGGATTATTAATGATTAATAATGCTTAAAAATGAGAAGATTATTGTCTATGAGAAAAGGAGCATGATATACAAATTTAAGAATAAATTATGTGCGATCATGTGTTATGAGTAAGTTGACTTGAAAATGGAACTAACTATGAAATGCATGTTGAAATATACTTTTTACTTCATATAAGAATATATGAATGATTAAAAGTGATATTTTGGTATATTGATATAATGATGATATTTTCAATGGAAAATCAGTGGGGCATTCTATAAATGACCATGAATAGAGAACTTGGTTTTGTTAGAATTAATTGGACTAGTATTGATATACTAGTTGGACATTAAAATGAAATCTTGTTAAAATTGATCCTAAGGTTGGATTGTGAAGTATTATGCCTTAAGTAGTCTTAAGAGATGCTTTAAGGTAGGAAAGTATGAATTTTAAGTTATACTAGGGGTAGGCCTTAAGGGATGCCCAAGACAAATTGAATGATAAATTGATCCTAGGTATAGGATTGGCCTACGGGCATGTTCGGTAGTCCTTGAGGATAGCCGGTTGAGTTATGGGAATAAGTAAGGACCATGGCCCTCCCCGACTCTAGAGAGCGGGGTTGGATAACATGGACTTGCATCGTGATCACGGGTCAGGGTGGAATCCGAATCGGAGACCTAACTAGGCTCTGGTAGCGGTAACACATAAGATAGGACCCGAAGGGCCTTACCTTCCTACGGTATGATGGGTATGAGTCCTATGGAATAATTGTTTTGAGGGCTTGTATGTCTAATTATGCCAAGTGTGACTTGAACACTTGTATTAAATGATTCCGCTGCTTTAAATGAATATTTTACATTATGTTTGTTTATGGATGTACTATGTGTGAATGGTATTCAAGACGTTTTGTATAGTATGGATGAGTTGGACTGCGGTTGACTATTCGTACTGTACGGTGGGTTGTTGACATGTCCGGGTAGGTCCGGGGCGTGACATAAAATCAATGGATTCTTTAGGATACCTGGATTTTAATAGACTATAGAAATTTAAGTTGATGATACCTAGATTTGGATGGAATTCTAAACTCCATTAAAATGTGTTATTGTGTTAAAATCCGTGTACGGGGCACCCCCTTAAGATATTGCAATTGATAAGGTGCGTTATTCACTTTCTTGCAGACTGACTTTTGTTATACTACGTACAATACAATTGATGATTGGGGCAAGTAAGTCTGGTTGGTGCTGGTGTGTTAGTATCACAAGAGTGCACTGTTGGTTACTCCAGTGCTGCTGCTGTGTATCTATACCATCACGAGTATAGAAGCCACTCAAGTGACACACACAAACACACACGCACAAAGATGGGTAAATGTAAAGGTTTGTGGTACGCCGTACGCATATATAGCCATATAGGTCCCGTACCTGTAAGTTTTCATGTTTTAGCACATTCCTCCGGAGTAGCCATCCTAATGTAGGAGTGGGTGTGGACCAGATTCTGAATTGGAATGGTATTGGGGCTGTCCGGTATTTGCCCAAAACCGCACTTCCAAAATTGGGCCTTTTCATGTGTGCTTCCTTTGAATGAATTTTCATGGAGCTCAAACGACAATTGCGATGAGATGTTACTATGTAAAAATGCATAAAATATTTGCAAGTACCTATGCTAGAGTTTCACTCATTATCTGTCAGTTTGTGATTAAAGTCCAATTTACATCCTCTTAATTAACTATCCGGCCGGTGTCGGAAGCCCTCAGGTGTCATTTTTTCAAATTAAATGAGTTTTGAAAAAGCTCCTTTAATTGCTTTTCATTTTAAAGACTTGTTTTTAAATTTAAGCACTTATTGAAACTAAAAGGTGTGAGAGAGTTCAAAACTTTCTTTTCATTTTTCTATCTCATAAAAAATACTCCCTCCGGTCCTTAATGAAGTTTACACTTTGACTTCACAAATATTAAGGAAATAAATTTGACTTTACTGTAGAGTACGCTGTTTGACACTGTTTGACATTATTTTGCATTGTTTGGTGTAGATTTGTTTGCCAAATAAGGCAAATAAGGAAGTGTAAAGTTTAATATGGGACGGCCCAAAAAGGAAAGTTTAAAGTTAATTAAGGACCGGAGGGAGTACATTATTTCATCAAAAACTACATCAAAAGTGCCTACGCGCTGAACACGTACTACATTTTTCAAAATAGAAGTAAAAATGTGATTTCTCCAAATAGGAATGTCAATATGTCATCCTAAAATTACAATGCTATATTATACGGAGTACATTATAAGACATAAGTGTTCTACTTTAGTGTATAATATCATAATACTTTTAGGATGAAAGTAGTTACTCCAATTTAATGAAAAAACATTACTATTATTTAGGAAAGTCGTCATGTTTTTACCGGTTCCTATATTATAAACCCGGATGTATATTTACATCCAAGTTGTTTTGTAATTTATTTCAACTTTAGATTTATTCATACGGAACACTTCACTCTCCCAAATTATTTATGTTGGGTTAATGGCCCAACAAGGGCCAGCCCATCAACCCATAAGAGCCTCCTATGAACGTCCCCAGAACGCCCACGAGGACCTCCTACGAACGTCTTGTTGGAGGCCCAAGATGATGGGGTACCTGTCCGTTTGTTCGGGAAGAGGTTCGTCCCGAAGAGGGTCAAGCTTCAGCACCAAGGGTCAGGGGACGTACGTACCCTATGTCAGCAGGTATCCTGGCCCAAGGATAGCTCAAGATGCTCGTCTTGCGGGACTCCGGGTCCAGCAAAAAAATAGGAGGCAAACGCATCGGGACGAACGTCCCCACCCCTTGGCAAGATGCCAAGACTCTAGTAGGAGACAGGAGGCAAGCGCATGGGGACGAACATCCCCACCCCTTGGCAGGATGCCAAGACTCCAACAGGAGATAGGAGGCGAGCGCATGGGGACGAACGTCCCCACCCCTGGTAGGATGTCAAGACTCCAACAGGAAGTAGGAGGAAAGCGCATGGGGACGAACGTCCCCATCCCTTGGTGGGAAAACAAGATCCTGGCGGGAAGCGCATTTAATGCAGAAAATTTGGTGGTTGGGATCGTGTCATCCACAGCCAGCCACGTCAAGGCATCCAACTATCCCTTGGCAGTATAAATAGAAGCATTTATTTCACTGTAAAGGGTTCGCAATTTAACACTCTAGCACTCTAGCAATTGTATAAGCTCATAGCATAGCATTGTACGTTCGGCCTCTCGGCTTTGTAATCAAATCAGTGTACTGAGACTCTTTATTGGGCCTTTTCCTTGCTTGTTTCTTCATCTTTTCACTTGCCTTTTCATTTGAAACCCTTAGGACACGTGTTGGGCCTACGGGTTGAAGGAATAAACCTCAACATTGGCACCATCTGTAGGAAACTGATCAAAAAGTTCTTTCAAACTAAGCTCTCAGCTAAAAAATCATTCCAAAAACAACCAAAAAAACAAGTAAGATGGCAGCTAATAACGCAGGAAACTCCTAGGATCTCTCTTCACGGCTAGCTCGTAGCAGGAGGAGCCGCAACCAGGCAACAGGGGCCCAGTCCAGCAGCATATGGTCTCGCGGGGATTTCGGGGTACTCACTGACTTGATTCCCCAAGACGTCCGTCAGGACCCGAATGCCCTAAGGGAGATAGCAGACACCATCCGCTGTTTGGCGAACGAACGGGAGGCGGAGCGCGTGTACTCCGCTAACATAGAGCGAACACCGCTCTCCCATCTCCGTACCATGCAGACGCTTGGCGAGCATACTGGTGAGAACGACGAGTCTCGTCAGTCGATCTATACTAGGATCGTCAGGAATACCCACTCTCCGGATATGGGGGGCGCCGGGGGAGCCGGACCCTTCAGAGGAGCGCAGCGGTACACGGTCCAAGACCGCACTCCAGTGACGCCCAGTAACGATCAGGCAGCCAAGGAGTACACACCCCTGATGGAAGGCATGAGGCAAGAGGCCCACGTCATTCATGGGCAGCACAACTTCAGAGTCGCACGGAGGGAAAATACCTTGGCATTGGTAAACCCGACACCTGCTATCACTGACCCACGGGACGCCATGCTCATGGACATGCAAAGACAAATTAACGAGTTGAACCGACGAACGGAAGCTATTCCGCCTGAACCCAGGGTTGCTCTA